CTCCTCTAGTCTATGCCGTTAGAAAGATTCTCTCCTCATGCTTTTTTTTCTTTTTGAAAGGAAGAGAGGATAAATCATATGATTCTCGATTCTCTTTTGAAGATAATCTGGTCTCAAAACATCATGATATCAATGTAATTCATCCTTCTTTCCTTTGATTCCTCTTTTGATCAGCTTAAAATTTATTCAGTGTTGCCAGTTTGAAATCTCTTTATCCTGTCCTCTTGTAAAGATTGGAAGAGCTGATCAACCCCTTGGGCCGAAGCGAGGAGGATAGGGGAGTTTGAATACGCTAATTTCTTTGAAGTTGCAATTCCTCGAATCTTTGTCCACATGAGTTATCCCTCATCAAAATTCAAAATGCCTCAAAGTTATAAGCCATGCTATATCCATAGAGGAAGAAATGTTGGCAATGACTCCAAAGAACATTCAACAATAACAGATATGGGTTCGCGTACCTTACCGAAACGTATGACCGCAGTATTCCATCTATCCTAAAGATGCAAAATGTGACCTAGAAGCTTGTTATTGGGATTCAAGATGTAGCAACAAATCACAGTGGCCATTAGACTATCTTATGGGACACCTCGTGTGGAAATAGAAGGTTATTAAACTATCACACGTCATTCGACATTGTCGTAATTGTCGCGCACCCTTTTTTTCTTCCCGTCTTGTATAGCTGAGTGAAGTCTGATGTTCGCTTACGGCTGTTTTGAATATCCCCTTGCCCCCTGTGCTACCAAGCCCATCCCCTGGCGAACACCCTTCATCCCAATCCTCAGAAATTTTGAAACCAAACTGCAGAAATTACAGAAACAACTTGAAATATGGAATGAAGACTAACAGAAAAAGGACACTATGGAGGGGCAGGTGAGGTTTCGACTCAGATAAAGTTCAAAAGTTGGCCAGGTCGACGGGACCTTGTGGTAATGAGTCCTACTGACATAAGCCAGAGGCAGATTGACCCCCACCTCAACTTTAGGGATTACTATGTCAGTCATACTCTGGAAATGTATAGCTCCACTTCATATCATAATAAACCCACTCCTTTCGTCCTACAGGAGCAATTCCATCATAGATAAATTACCCCACTCATTAGCTCAGCACATCTTATGTACTAACATCAATAGTCGCTGCTAGACAGTGATTATCTCTTGACAGATCTCATTATATGCGAGATCTCCTCTTGACAGATCTCATTATATGCGAGATGATCTCTTGACAGATCTCATTATCTGCGAGAATGTTTTGTGATTGGCCGATAAGCTTCATACTTCTAGTAAATGACCTATCTACTTTTCAAAATCCGGTATTAGATACTGACGGACTCAGTTAATACCAAATCTAGGCTAGAAATTTTCAAATAACAGGTGTCAATCTCACAATGAATGCGTTGTGATTGGTTCAATAGTGCTATGGCGCGAGTAAAGTCCTACATCATGTGGTAAATGTTAGCAAAAGACAAAGATTGCGTTATGTAATTCACAATCGGAAAATTTGTATAAAAGGCTCGAATGTCGCAGCCTTTCTGGAATTTACTTTTTTATCATTAACATTCATCTTTTCTTTCTTCAGATACCAAATTTCGGGGTTAATATCCATAGCGAATGTCCCTTAGCGATTTATATCCTTGATTATAAAACACTTCGTCATTTCATCAATTATACACAAGCCTTTCTATCAAGCTATTTAAAGATGCCAGTCTTCGAGCACACATTGAATATGTTACGGTCAGTACTGGAAGATATCTCTCAACAAATTCGTTCACTTCACATTTAATACAGGCTTGCAAGTGTCATTCGAATGCTAATGGAGTCTGTGTGGTCGTTAATGCAGCCGTTCGCTTACAGTCTACCGCGCCACCCTCCTTACCGACAAATGCAAACCCTTTGGAAATAAGTTAATTTATAACGACAATTAGCTTAGCAGTTCATCAATTACAGAGAACATAGACGAATCGATAGTCCAACATTTACGATCGATCTTTACCAGCATAGAATTCTAGAACCGACTTCAATAATCAATGTCACTCATTACCCTGCCACGTATCAAAGCTATCGCCATCACGTCCTCACCATCTATACATGAAACCTCGTAAGAGATCGCCTATTAGGTATGCCTCCGGCTAGGCCTTTTAGGTAGACTTGGGAGAAGCGATAAGAAAGCCCAAGTACTACATCATCGTCATCTACGTCGCTATTTACATTACTATATATCGACATCTCTTTCGACATCTACATCAACATCTACATCTACATTTATATAAACGCTTTATCACATATTTTATTATTATATTCACATCTATATCTACATCTATACTAACATCTATACCAACATCTTTTTATATATCTTATTATTTATATCTACATCTACTTCAACATCTAGATTAATATCTATATCAACATTTACATCAACATTTACATCGACATCTACATAAACATCTACATTAAAATCTACTTTGACACCTATACCAACATCTACATAAACATCTACATCAACATTCTATCACATATCTTGTTATTTACTATTTATATCTACATCTCTATCTACATCTCTATCTACATCAACATCTATACTAACATTTATACTAACATTTATATCTACATCTACATTAACATCAATAAATCATCTTTCTTAAATTTATTACAATATATCTCACATCTATGTCTCACATCTAGTTCAACATTTACATTAACATATATACCTTCTCAGCCATCTCATCATTTATATCACATCTGTATTACATCTATAACTAACATCTATAACTAACATCTATAACTAACATCTATAACTAACATCTATAACTAACATCTATAACTAACATCTATAACTAACATCTATAACTAACATCTATAACTAACATCTATATCAACATCAACATTAACAAATATACCACAAATCTACCTTCTCAGCTATCTCGTCATTTATATCACATTTATATCACATCTCTATTACATCTACATCAACATCTACACATCAACCCCGTCGCCAAATACATCGATAAACCTCATAAGAGATCGCCCGATAGGTACGCTCCGGTAAAGCCTATTGGGTAAACCTGGGAGAAGCGTTAAGAAAGCCCAAGTACCACCAAATCACCGCAAAAAATCTCGCCATATATCGACAACAGAAGTTTTTTCGACGAGCCAATCTAAAGACAAATACAACTCAAATACGCAAGATAAGCCGTATCGCTGCATGTGTATCACTGTCACTCGACTCGACGTACCAATCCAGAGGAGTTCGGACCGCATGCGGAAACAGCTGAGTATACATTATTCACATTTTCGAAATGTACTGTTCTTTCCTCCTCCATTTCTTATCCTCAAGTTAGTGTAGACCAACACTCTGAGAATCACGCAGTACAATCGACGCTCTCTTACCAGCCCCGATATTTCGTCCGTCTTAACAGATTCCATTTTAGCAAGAACAAGATTCGGCACATTCGATCCCATCGTCCGAATTTCAACCATCATCTAACAGACAAGAAAATGAAAATCTGTTATATCTAACACCCATGTCTTCTCAAAAATAATAAACGCCACCTAACCCCCACGACACAATTATTGATTCTAGTATTCATATAGAGTGCCAGTCAAACGCCAACAACTACAAGCAAGATCACCAAAAAACTCTTCCTCAAGCGCCAGCATAAAATCAACATCACAATGAAAAAATTGGAACGGTTCAAATCGATAGAGGAAGAAAAGAAAACGGAAAAGGCGTGAAAAAGAGGGTATAGCAATGGCATTTTAGAGTATAGCAAGTCGGAATGAACACGTGTTTAGTCTGAAGTGAGGACGAAAAGAAAGAGGAGGGAGGAAAGACAAAACAGTAAAAGTAAAAGTAAATTTAGATAGCACCGATAATGTAGATCTAGATAGCATCGATAGTTAGGTAGATCTAGATAGCATCGATTTCTCGGTACCTTCCAGATCCGAACTTCAATGTTGGATTGTGGCAGGTGCCTTCCTCTCAAGAGGGAAATCGTAGATGTATGTAGCTAATTGAAAATATTGTTTACTGTATTTCTGTGTAAATCATACTTGGATTGAGAAATCAATATTATGTGGCTCCTTGTTTGTGAACTGTTCAATGGGAACAAGTGATTCGATCAATCATGGTCATGAGAGGATTGGCGGGGGAGGGGGGGGGAGATCGACAATAGTATCTATGTTTAAGGTAGGAATGGTTCATAAAAATTACAACTAATTGAGGTTGATGGATGAATGAATAAAAATTGATCATTGTACCGAATCGTGGAGTCACGAGCAATGAGAGTGACATTACTACGAATGCAAAAGACTGCCGGAGAGATATGTATATGAGTATGACTGTTGTGAACGAGTAATTAAACAACCTTGATGGCCGGTTTTACTCATTACCAGGTGAGAGAGATCCATTTGCGGTACTGGTGAACAGGGAATAATTCGTGAATAGAAGCGAGAACGCAATGAGTAAAGATAAAGACACCAGTGAGTTATGATGTGACCGAAACAATTACTAAAGGCTTGAGTACATAATGGAACTAGAGGGGAATCCCAAAGTAACAGGACCGGAAAGTATTTGAGTTTAGCTAGTGTATTCTCAATTGTTCATGTAATTGTTGAATACCATTAGAATATTCGATGTACTTAACTTGAAAGCATTTAGCCAGTCAAGATTCACCCGCTTGAGGCATTCAAACAAGGGGAATCCAATGCATGCAAACAAAATAAGACTACAAGCACTAAACGATGGCCAATGCAAATTTTGGAGAAGCTATCATTGAGTTGATTCAATGCCAAGTTTGTACCAATATCCCCCTCTTGTACTCTGAGATGAGATACTGCTACACGATGAGCACAATGTATTATGCTAATATAATACTCTAATGATCAACACCAGCAATATTTGGAGTATGTATGTATTTCTGTTCATCTCGCTCGCTCTCATTTTCTCGATCGTAACAACCCAGCCCCATTAAATCATACCAAAATGTCTCCTCCACCCCTTGCAATTTATTTCATCAATTTTGCGATGAAAGGGTGCTTCAATGCTTCCGTGGGTGTTATTCGTTTCTCTGGGTTGAGCGCCAAACATCTTTCCAGTAAATCCCCAAACAATGTCAACTCCTTCTGCTCAACCTCTGTTAGCCCCTTTGATGCCGAAATTAGACGAGTTCGAAGATCTCTACTTGGCTTTGCGAATGCCATTGTCTTAACGACATCCTTGCCAGTCAATTTGTCTGGTTCAACGCTTCTGAAATTCAACATATCATCAAAATGAATTCCAGCAAAATCGGCTTTTTTTAACATCTTGACTGAAAACTTTCCGCGGCAATCCATGATGGAGCGTAACATTTGATTATTTGATCTACCAGTGAATAGGATTTTACCGGTATACAATTCATATAAGGTGCACCCAATAGACCAAATATCAATGGCGAAGTCGTATTTCATACCAAGAATAATTTCTGGTGCACGATAGAAACGAGAAACAAGATAGGGAGTGATCTCGTTATCCGTCGCGTCTGAAGCGGATCCCAAATCACAAATTTTGAGCATATTGCGAGTTTCATTCACCTAAGCAACGAGTTAGAAAAGAAGATTCGTGAGCTGAAGTAAAACTTACCAAAATATTATCAGGTTTTAGATCCGCGTGCAAGATATTGGCCTTCTTCATCAAGCTGAGCCCGAGAAACATTTGATGAGCATATGCTCGCACAGCCCTGAGATTGATACCAACATTGTTTCCGAATTTTTTCAGAACCTCACGCAAATTGATACTCAAATGTTCGAAAACCATACACAAATGACCTTTGTGCTCAAAGTATCGCTCTAGACGTATCATATGTTTTTTGTCCTCTGGATCTGCATCTTTGATCTTTTCCAGAATCTCAATCTCTTTCATTCCAGCCTTCCTCCTATGATACTGTTAGCATATGAGACTTTGGATTGGTGTGGATCAATTTACATAGTCTCGTTATTCCTAATAAGCTTAATTGCGACCAACTTTTTGGTAGTGATGTCCATAGCTCGAACCACGCCCGAGAACATACCCTTTCCAAGATTTGCTTGGACATGATATCTACCATTCAAGAGTTCACCAAGGATAATCTTGTAATAACCCTCAAGATCATCCCAGTTATCGAGCATGCCGATGTCGAGCTCTTTAGCCTGTGGAATAGGCACTGCTTTGGCAACATCACCATTCGTGATAGCTTGAGGCTTATCATCCGCGACTGAATCTTCGGCAAACATATCGTCGTCGTCATCGTCTGCAAACATATCAAATTCGTCCTTCGATTTTGGTGCTTTGACTTCAGCGGGTGCGATTTCGGCAGGAAGGAGGACATCTTGTTCAGATGTTGGCTTTGTTTCGTTGTATGCCCCAGAGGATATCTCATCAAAATGGCGTTGTCCGTCGCGCTGTCTATCTTCTCTCATATCCATAGTTGGATCATAATCTGCGGCTGAAGGTCCATCTTCCTCATCTGCTGTTGGGACTCCGTGTGAGTTGACAAGATCCTGATCATCCGTGATTGCGAAAGCGGATGGGGATCCTGGGTCCATAGGGGTCCCTGGAGTCGAGGCGGTAGGTGAAGCTGAGGCTAACGAATCAGAGAGGATTTTGCAATGCAGTGTAGTCTGCTTACCGGTTGGGCCTGAAGGGCTATCATCTTCGCCTTGTCCAGGAGTGGATCCTCCAGATTTGTCTCCTAAGTGCAAAGCTTGTACTAACAAGGGTGTACCAGAACCTCGATACTTAGCTTTAATTGCCTCGCGGCGCTTGCGTCGCTGTTCTATTAATGTAGCTTCATCAATTGGCTCTTCTTCAGGAATTTCATTAGAAGCTTCTTCAGCAGGGGTAGATCTAAGTTGCATCAGTAAATGCTCAACACGAAGGGATTGATCAATAGCATACATATCCATCTCACTTCCATCACGTTGATGTTTATGCTGTTGCAATTGCCCTTGAGTAGTTTTAGCCTCATGTCTCGAATTATCAGTAGGCAGCGGGCCCTTTCCCCGATTGCTCACTGACTGGTCTCTTGAACTTCGGTATGAACCTCCATACCCATAAGGCTTGTTTCTATCCGCATAGTCACTATACCGGTTGCCGTTGTTTACTGATTGCCCATTTCGTCCACTTCTATCTCCTTCACGATTAGCTCGGTAAGGCGAACGACTTCTGGTTCGAGGACGTTTTTCGGGATGCCTATCCCGATAATCATGATCGTCATATCGTAATTCGGATGAGTTCGTTGGCCCCTTGTCTATGTCTTCGTATGAAACCCGTGGGCGGCGTCTATTGTCTTGAGAATAATCTTCGTAATGAACCTTGAATCGTCTTGAATCGTTTCTACTACGGTCTGGGTAGTCGTCATCTCTAGGTCTCTTCGAACCTCGAGAGTGTCGGTCAGAATAAGGGGAACGACTTCTTTGATCTCTAGATCTATATAATTGTTCGGGGGAGCGTGGTGATAAAGAAGTCGTACTAGAACGGGTTCTGTCTTGACGGTCAACGGAAGTGCTACCGGGTGTACGCAGCGACGTAGTTGCCTTCTTCTCCACTACTCCATCACGAATCTCGCCCTCGTCAGAGCTTGCTAATGATGCCGTCATGTTCCTTGTTGTAATTGTAAGGACGAAAGCGCCCCCTGCCTTTAGATTTGGATAAATGTGTGTCAGCCAAAGATCACAAACAAGATCCCAAAGTGAGAAGAGCCCAACCGGTTATCTCTCAGCGCATAATTTTCTTCTTTGCTTTGGTTTGCTTTGGCAGTATGAAGGTGAAGGATGGGTCTTAGTATAATAGCAGAGAGTATAAGAGAGTGAAGTGTCAATTATTGGTTTGACGGCCAAGTTGTTGCTGTGTATGTGGTTGTCCAACTGAAACTGATAAATTCAACATCTTGCATGACGGTCAGTTGCAGCTGCCATATCGATAAACATACTAATCTAAATGAGGCTAGGTTGATTTTGCATCCACCTTGTCAGCATTCTTTAAAGAAAACCCGCAAAAATACCCTTCCCCCACCAAAAAGTGCCTCGAGAAGTCCAGAATAATTCCGCATTTCTTCCACCAAAAAAGACGATCAATTATTTCAAAAGGTCACCCAAAACACCGATAAATTTAATTCAAAATGGGAGGAAGTTCGTATAATCTTGTTCATCCTTTTCAGGCCACATGATACTGACCGGAATACCTAGACGGCACAAACCCTATCCACAACAAAGTGAAGAAGAAGGTCAAGGTTGAGGATGATGATGAGACCATCGCATTCAAGCAGAAGCAGAAGGAGGGTAAGTGACTCTGCGTTCCCACCATCTAGTATAACGTCTCATTGACAACCGCTACTTCAGAAAAGGCAAAGCAAGACAAATTAGCCAAGGAGATCGGTGGACAGAAGGGCCCCTTGAAGACCAAGTCGCACGGCATTTCCGGCAGCGGTGGTAAGGGAAAGAAATAAATGGTATTCAGTTCTATGCGCGATGGATTATTGAGTTTACGAGATATTTGAGCAAAGGCGTGGATAATACGGCGTATGGGTTTGATGAAGGATTTTCAGACTTGTATGACAAGGGCTTCGAGCTGAATATGGGGAACCATTCACCACGACGGAGTAATCTATTCAATATGCTTAGGCATATACTGGACAATATAAATTGATCCAGAAGTTATGGATAAATGCAGGCGTGTCGCAACTGTGAAAGTGTTTCTATTATTAACTGCCAAAGATGGCGACAACTTCGCCGCTTACAGGCCCCATGGAAACCTTCGCCGACTGTGCTGGTGTGATGAATTCATGGTATTAAGGCATTTGAAAAAATTTCCGTGCCAACCCCTTCCCCATTTCATACACGAAGATATAAAAATTAGAGGGTGGATCGTTGCGGATGATCATGGTCACCGGTCTGCCGCCCCATGGCCATCAAACCCCTCGGCCACAGCCGCTACCTTGGTATCAGCTCCAAAATCAACACCATTAGTACTTTTGTCCTTATTTAAGATACTCATTATTTAATCAGTATTGCCCATATCACACTACATCATGCAAATTAGAAACTCGCTCTACCTGTGCCTTCTTCTCAGCTTTGGCCTTCATGGCTTCCCTGGCTTTGGCTCGCTGCCTTGCCATTCCAATCTTCATCGCGTTCCTCCAGTTTTCGACCACGAAGAGTTTGACCAACTGAATGTTGTAGAATCCGTGTTCATCCCTGATTGCAGCTTCAGGAACAGCCCCCTCGTATAGTTCACCTTCCATGATGACACCTTTCAGAACCTTTGTAGCTGCCGACCTCGTTTGATTATCACCTCCGTCAACAGGAATATTAGCTTTGATACCGTCATTCATCACTTCCACTAGATGTCTTGCAAGATTCCAGTCGTGTCGTCTGGTTTCGTATTCCTCCTCGACACCAAATTTCTTGAAAACTTCATCGCGAATTTGTTCCCTCGTGATTTTAGTATCACTATACTTTCCTGCTTCTCGACACATAGGGATGAATTCATCAACCCAAGCTCTAAAAATAGGTCGTTTTGCTAGACGTTGACGATCATTGTGCTTTAGCTTTTTCTTCCCCTCTGCTCCGCCCTCTTGACCTCTCTCGGCAACAATGCCAGTGGCATCTCCCTCCGCTTCATCTTCGGCCACATCTCTGACCCAGAACATTCGACAAGTTGCGGCATATTCAAACATTTCCTGCTGAGTACTGAAACGTTTCCACCACTTTTCTTGATTCAGTCCCAAGAAGTCCAGTATCTCGGCCGGATTGTCAGTGAGAAAGACCATGCTCTTCTTCCTGTCTGCCGACTCGATTTCGGGGATTCGAATGAAAAAGGCGCAATTGTTGATAGTAAGTCCAAACCCTCTGATCGTGGTGCCAATGATGTTCCATAGGTCGCCATGAGCAGAATGAAACAGTTCCCAGTCAAATTCATGCTCGCTTTTACATATATGGACATCGACTTGAACGTACCAGCTCGCTGACGAAGTATCTGTAGATTCAGTCACATTCTTTCCATCCTTAGCACCAGTGATAGTGTACTTCGGCCAAGGAACAGCAAAATTGATGGTAGGATTGCCTTTTTCTTGCACCAAGGCTTTTGCATTCAAAGCTTTCTTGAGCTCAACCCCGACTCCATCTTCAGAAGAAAACGCGCCCTCCAAAGGCAGTGCAACAAGTATGTCGACATCCCCATACGTAGTCTTGCCAGGTCCCTCAATAGCACTCTCAACTTTGGAGTAAAATTTGCGTAGAACTGCTTGATTCTGTGTGAGAGCTTCGTTGTAGACTTCCTGAGTCATACGAGGCGTCTTGATGGGTGGAACCTGAGAAGAAAACGCGTGGCCTCCCATTGTCTCAAGAAACTGCAGTAGAAGGAAAGTAAAATTAAACAAGAGAATGTTCCTTGCTTAAACAAGTATTAGAGTTGTAAGGTTCATGTGCAAGTTCTATAAGCCACACCAAACGACGACAAGCATTGTGCTGTGCAAACATGATATGACTTGTGATGGAAGTAACATGTGCAAACCTAGAGAAGCAAAACCATAAAAGGAAATCAGGATGGGAACCGGAAAAAGAAACTCCAACCACAGCTCTCCCTTTCTTCTGTACGATGGCAGAAATGGCGATGTCGTTTACATGGTAATTACAGAATAATTGAAAACATTCAGACGTAGGAACGTTCTCAATTTCAACCAGATTTATGCCAATTTTAACATTTTTTGATCCGATTGTTCCGTAAGTCTTGGGAGAATCATCCTCGCTCTTCTCGCAATCCTCGTCTCTGCGGGGATTGACCAGGGAAAAAAGGAACGATCAAGAAAGTCATCGGTGGTCATCATCTCACAATTGTCTTTGCCATACTATTCAATTGGATAAGAGAACAGCAAAGTCGTCATTACTGCGCCTCTACGCCTCAACATTGTCAAAATGGTAGGCTTTATTTGTATGATGATTGAATTCTAAGCGCTATGTGACTGGCCACCCCTCATTTGACCTCTGCCATAGCCCCGCGAGGATTCTTGACCTTAAGGTTTGCCTTCTGCACAGCTTCGCGATAAATAACACTTGAATCCTTCTGCTCTTCCTACTTTTACTGGCTTACAACCACACTTTGAGTCGACTTACTATTACAGGCATAGATTTCTCACAGAACAATAAGAACGCAAGAATGTCTTATCAGAATTATCCCCCATATGGTGCACCGCCGGCTGGACGTGAGTAAAATCTACATTCTCATTTGCGACAATATCTGACTTGAGCGCAGTTGCCCCGCAATCTGGATACCCACCACAAATGCCCCCTCGTCGTATGTGAATTGACGTTTGCGACAATGCAGCACCTGTTGACTTTGAAATAGATTCTCCTCAGCCATATCAGCAATACCCTCCTACCCAAAACCCATATCCTCAAAACTCATATGGTGCTCCTCCACAACAACCTCCATATCCACCGCAGCAACAACCCAACCAACAATATCCTCCCCAACAAGCTTCCTACCCACAACAGCAACCATATGGTGCACCTCCGCCTGGTCCGCCGGGGCATTATCCTCCACCGCAATCATCGCCTTATCCTCCACCGCAAAGCGGATATCCTCAACCACCATATGGCGCTCCACCCCCAGGCGCACAACCTCAATATGGTGCGCCAATGGGCTACGGACAACCTACTCCACCTTCAGCCGGATATGATCTGAACTTACCAAGCCCTCCTCGCATACCCTACGATGGACGCGCAGATGCGCAGGCGTTGCGCAAAGCTATGAAAGGTTTCGGTACTGATGAAGCGACTCTTATCGAGGTATTGCATAACAAGGGACCTTTGCAAATAGAAGTTTTGCGACAAGCTTTCTTTGATACTTTCAAAAGGAAATTGTTGGCAGATGTGGAGAGTGAAACAAGCTCGTATTTCAGGGAGGGTCTCGCTGCGATAATTCGGGGTCCCTTGATACAAGATTGTCATTTACTTTATTCCGCCATGGACGGAGTAGGCACCAAGGAGAAATACCTGACTGAAGTTTTGATGGGCAGGTCAAATGCCGATATCAATGCGATCAAGTCAATGTATCAACGCCGATACAAGAGGAGTCTGGCGGGCGATATCAAAGGTGATTTGAGTATGAAGACAGAGGATCATTTCTTGATGGTATTAGAGGCCAATAGAAACGAGGAGAGTGCGCCAGTAATCCCTCGCGATGTTGATCGAGATGTGGCATCTATATGGAATGCGACAGAGGCTATACGTGGGCATGATGCAAAGACCGTTTGTGAGATATTCACGAAACGAAATGATGCTCAATTACGAGCAATCAATCACACATACCAGCAACAACATGGAAAGCCATTGGAATGGGTTATCAAAAAAGTAAGTAAATTCATTGCAAACATATTTAGAAATCTTACTGACTCCCTGGACAAGAAGTTCAGCGGCCACATGGAGGATGCCCTCCTCTATCAACTTCGCACAGCTTCGGATAAAGCCATGCGTGATGCAAACCTCATGGAGGAATCAATGAAAGGTTTTGGCACAAAAGATAAATTACTTGTTGCTCGAGTCGTTCGATGTCATTGGGATCCCAAACATATGGGCCAGGTCAAGGGTGCATATCAGCATGCCTACGGACGATCTTTGGCATCCAGAATTTCTGCGGATACAAGTGGTTTTTATGAGAAACTGATGGTGAAATGCGTCGAGGGCAGTAATTTTGTTCAGCCTGGTTACACATGGTTCTAGATCATTTGCATCAAGAAGGGTTTGGTTTCATTTAGGTTATGTATGATGTGTTTGGAGGTATGGTCTACAGTTCTGACAATTTTGGGATTTCGGTATTGGAAGGAAAGGCCATGCGATAAAGGGAATGGAGGGGTAATTGGGGATCGCCACCAGCGAGCAATCGCGATAGGTAGTACTTTTCGGTTATACGGCGTTTATTTAGGATGGGATTGGTGAGATGGTACCAGGACCAAGTATGTTACGAATTTATTTTGATTATCTTGATTATTTTGATTATTTTGCAAATATTTCAGTCTGATTTCCAATGAGTCTCAGTGCGTACAATATTTTGTTTGTGTTACCTGTTATACATGGCTTGAACACAAGTATGTACGCTAGCAATTGGCCACCCCGCCAGTCGAGGATAGAAGAAGGGGGGGGGAAAAACACAGTACCGTATCATACTTGGGTAAATCGCCAGTGATTATCAGTGCCTTGGGTTTGAATGCGAATGAATTGTTATGAGTGATTATCGTTTCTATCTTTTGAAAAGTATGAAAAATCAAGTAAAATGAGTATTGGATAATATCAGTCTACTGTACTAATAAAATCATGACTGGATGACTATAATATAGAATGACTATACTATATACACTCTACGGTATCATCGTAAGAGTTTCATTCGGCTGTTTCAGAGACTTGTCTTATGAATGATTGGGTTCGTGAATAAGGATTAACAACAAATTGATTGATATAGTAGGTAGATAGGTACCTAGATAGGAATTGTGCGTACGTACATACATAATACATACATACATGGGCGTGCCACAATTTCGGTAGCTAGGGAGAGATCCACCATTCATATACACCCATAGACACAGACAAGACAAGTCAAGCAAGTAGCTTTCCGTACATGAAACCCAAAGTGACGATATGGGGTTGTTCTATACATTCTTCTTTGGTTCTTCGAAGGGGGGAGTGGGTATGATTTATTGTAGGGAGATAGACAGATAGACAGATAGTAATCTGGTATGTAGGTACTTACTACGAGTACCTAGATAGTCTTGAATTAATGCTTACTCGTCGAGTTGTCTATACTCTATTATAGAATGCCAGGTCCTTATTCGTTTCATACTATTACCTGCCGGGCTGGTCGTGATCAAACCTATCTATCCTACTTAGGTAGGTAATAATACGAACCCTAATTAATTAAATATCTTATGTCATGAAGACAACTAATAACAATAACAAGCTATTATAGCGAGTACACTGCCTCCCAATGAGCGATGGAATTAAACATATAACTAAAGGCGACTGAATGAATGAAGTGTTATTGTTCGGATAGGTACTTTGTGAGCTGCAATATCAACGACTCCTTTCTACCGAGTGCACTTCTTCCTAGTATGATGCTATTATAGTAAGTGGTGTATTGAATTCTTCGGAAATTATAATCATCCTAAAGGGAAGAGAGAAAAGAGTCGTAGTATTCTTTGATCTCTTCCGATTTCATCCTTAAAGACAATCTTCATTCTTCATTCTTCATTCTTCATTCTTCATTTATTAGTTTTCTTATTTCATTAATTACTTATCATATTACTCACTATATTTGGAGCAAATAGGCAAGGGCCCCAACGCTAGCAAATTTTAGCTTCGTATAGTCTAGCTTTTATTAACTTTCTTTTGATTTCTTCATCATCAACATTTACTCTTCTCTCCATTTTATTATCATTCTTATTATTATACACTCACTCACTTCATCAACGTTAATCCTTTCTCTTGATCTTCTTGACAAACAAATAACGTTAGATTCACAATGGAAGCTCTCTGATTGATACGATTCACTGTGAGCACCGACCTAATCCCTTTTCTTCTGATTTTCTTGATACGAGAATACGTCTCAGGCTCTCGGCAATTTGTTCATTATATCCGTTTTGCATAATCTTCTGATTAGAAATGCCTGGGTACTAATAATAAGTACGTCTGAATATAGATCGATTATTCCACTCGAGGAACACTTGTTGCAGACTTGCGACATCTTACTTTTCTTCTGAACCCCTATTGACCCTACGTTATGGATGTCTAAAATTCTCACATTGCTCTTCACATAACTATCCAGGTACATTTTCTTTTCTCCTTGATTCACTCCCTTTCGACTCTCAACCAATTAAACGACTCTTTTATACCACAGTCACATGATACTTATAATAATAATTTATAGTGTCACTATTATAAAGTTGACAAAATTCACCTTTCCGCGTTTTACTATTACTATATTAGGCCCGAATAATTTCAGTCTATTCAAAACTACCCTCTCAATAACATAATTCTTGAAGGGTTCGTGGTTACTCCGATCAAATCAATCAATCATTCTTTTTTTTTTTTAAACACGTGGATCCCACGTGTGTGATAGATCAAATGCCTCCAATACGTCTTGACGAGAGTGATGACGACTCTGAGCTTTCGGACATTGATGTAGCTGAGATCGCCAGTGTAGCTCTCTCAGATACCCCAGGATCTATAGTAATTCCAACATCGACAGATTTACCTGAACATGATGCGATGAATAGGGATGGGTCCCCTCTCGAGTCTCAAACCATTGCTGCATCATCGAACCCGGACGAAGATGGTGGAACCATCGATCTTGATACCCGTCCACCACCCGAGGACAAAGGCGATCTAGGAAAGACTGCAAAGGCGGAATCTGAGTCTCCCAAGCAAACTAGATTGCCCATACAAAATTCTGGACGTCGAGGCAAGAAGGCATCCACCGAACAGGAGTCTGGAAATAACCCATCGGAACAACCATCGAACATTTTGAAGAGAAAATCATTTCCAAATGACTCTCCTAAGAATGCTTCTACGAGTCCTACAGCACACAGACAACTTCGTCGTCCAGATCTTGCTACGCCAACGCTAAGGCAACCCTCTATAGCGACCTCTGAGCGTCAGTCCACCCGTCACCACGAACCGCCATCCCTTGCAAAAATCCAAGAAGAAACTGCTCGTTTGCGGGAAGTTTTATTGCATGTGTCAACTGAAGCGACTCAAGAAATATTGAAGGAGCAGTGGAGAAATTTTCTTTTCACGAATGCAAAAGAGTCACACATCACATTCATTCTCCGAGCTGGATTGAAGAATGCCAGTCCTAGTGTTCTTGCACGAATCTATAACGACTCTGGTGTCATGAAAGATACCTTCTTGGAGACTATCACCTCTAAGCAACCCATTGTCGCTAGGGTTTTGAAGAGTGCTTCTGCAAACCAGCTTGCAGATCTCGTACCCAGCAAAGTTCTCGATCAGGCTCTATCTGAACGGTTAAAGAGTGTTCCGGCGAAAACACTCATACGATGGCTGGCTGAGGCTGATAGACTTGGTTACAGTCTTGATGACATTCTGGATGAGAACGATGAGACTGTCGTTCCAAATATGCCGAGTAGGGCGCAAAGTCACGATGATGATGATGATGCTAACGATGATGATGATGACACTGAAATGATAGATGATGGACCAAAGAAAACGGAAGCTCCGTCTTTGGATCCACTTGTTGCTGAACAAGAACGAATCAGCGCCCTGCAAAAGTCTCAAAACGATGCCCAAGCAAATACTCCACGCGAGTTGAGATGTCCCACTTGCACCTATAAGTTCGATACCATCAGAGGCCATAATTTCGTGAGTTTAGAATTGACATGATTCTACTTCAGAGCTAACAGTGACACAGCATCGACAAAAGAATATCTGCACTAGAAGTCAGCCTCCAGGATTAAAGTTCTATTGTGGTAATTGCGCTCAAGGGTTTACCACCAAGCAAGGAATGCTATATGTATGTTTTATCTGTGTGATTTGCGAATCTCGCTGACTTGCCAAAGCATGAAAAGAAGCGTGTTTGTCTTGGGGCAGAAGGAAGTCCAGACGACGAAACCGTTTATCAAGACTACCGAGACATAGTTTCTAATTCACCAAACCCTCAATACGGACAACACCCTGACCACCCACAAACTGCATCATTTGGAAATATCCCTCGTCCACCTCTCCACACTCCAGGATCGCGCTCCAAGCACATCGAAGCGATCATCGCTGCATCTCCCTGGGATGGAGAGGCTCGCCATTCACCATCTGAACTACCACCCGACAAGCGTGCCGCTTTAGAAGATGCTCTGCAGAAAATCGAAGAAAAATATATCGAGGATCAAAGCAAGATCCCGGAGGACTGGACCCCCGAAAGACGAGAGGCACGACTTATCTCTCTCAAGAATGGAAACGCATCCCGCAAATCTCAAATCCGCAAACAATTTGGTGTCACTCTTCGTATGCGCGACAGAGATAAGGAAGCAAAGAAAATACGTGAGGTTTTGGGTTCCAATTCTCCAATGGTGCCTACCGGCATGAACAGAATTGAATATCGTAATTCACCAACGGTTGCTGGCTATCCAGTAAATGCTCAGCAGCAAATCCATCCTAATCAAACACCAGCCGGTATGAGAATGGAGATGGTAGATATGAGGCCTGCTACAGGATTTTCGCCAATCAATGCTCCGCCGCAACATCAGCAAAACCAACAGCATCCTCAGCACCAGCAATATTCGCAAGCAGCACCAGGTCACCACCCAATGCCATATCCAGGTTCTCCTCAAGCTCAAGGTTTCCAACAAAATTTCCCACCTGTACCACAGCTTCTGTCGCAGCAACGACCTGGCCCAGACCATCGGATGAGCCCACTTGGGTATCAAGGAGCTTCGGAACAAGCGTACAGAGGACCAGAAGATCATGCAAACAAAAGACTCAAGCGCAATTCAAGTGCAGGAATGTCGCGAGCAGATGAAGAAAGAAGTAGACATTTTGCACCCGCTGATTCGGCTCCAATGGGTATGAATGAGAGAAGGGCTTCTGGGGGTAGAACTCAGGCTTATAATGGTCCCGGGATTCCCGGCATGGAAAATCAAAGATCGGGTTCTGCAGGAGCAAATGGTGCTATGATGGAGGGTGAGAGTAGACCAAATTCTGCAGGCTCAAGTAGTGTGCGAAAGAGGGTACCTGTTGGGGCGTTGCAGAGGCAATGGGAAGCGTTGAATGGGAAGGGACCGGGTAGGAAAACAGAGCTTGAGAATAGGGCTGGGAATGTATTAATGAGTAGCGTGGGCGGGGGTGAGAGAGCAAATGGACGGATTGAGAATAGAAATGTGGTTGTGGGTGCGAAAGGTAAAGAGCCAATGCATGAGGGAGGTAGAAATGTGGTCGATTTGGTTAGTGATGATAGTTCGAGCGAGCGTGAAGCTGCTGGACCTAGTGGGGGAGGAAAATAGATTTCTGAAGGTGCGGTGAGATTCAGGGAGGTTAGATATTTGTTCGATGGAAGCATGGATTTTCATTTTCATTCGTGGCTACTGGCCTTTTTTTATATACCTACCTTTGTCAAATATGCCACTTTTTTTTTCTCACTTGGAGAGAAAGTTAAGGAACCAGCGAAATAGGGATTTATTGGAATCTACATTACAGAAATGATAGGTGGGGAGTGTCAACAAATGTATTGTATTCTGAATATCTCGATCTGTCTTTCTTTTTGGGGTTTCAAGATAATTTCGATGCGACTTGATGCCGTACGACACGATACGACAAGATATTTAAATAATAACTTGCTTCTTCCAAACTCGTGGCGGTGGAAATCGTAGATTAAGAATAGAAATCAAGATGCTGATTAGTTAGTTAATACGTTACGATGAAATTACTGGATGTCCATTTTTGTGCGATAATGTCGGCGGCGTGATTGGATGGATAATGTAATTGTAGATTTAGTGATTGATTGATTACTTCTTCCACCATGCATTCCAACATTCACACAATCAATCGAGCCTCACCAAGCAGAATACAAGCCTAGGAAATTACGAAAATCAACAACGAAAGAAGCTTGGATGGAGATTTTCGTGGTTGTTTAATTGGTAGGTCGATAGGTCGATATGTATTTCGTGATCTTCAATTTGTGTCTTCATTCTATTATGGATTGTAGATTTGAGGAAGCTGGAAATTGGAAATTGGAAATTGTAAAGGGTGTGATGGGATGGGATGAGATGGGATGAGATGGGAAAGTTTTGATAGTTTTGGGGCAGGAATGTTAAGAAGGATAGCTGGAGCTGGAAAACTCTGTACCCCATCTCTGTGCTTACTACTAAGTAGATACCTATCAAAAATGGCAGCTTACATCTATCTAATCATCCATCTAATCAGATCAGATCATCTCCCCTCATTCTCCATTCTCCATTCCTCATTGTCTATTCTTCATCAATCACAATCACGATCACGATACCCACCCACAATCCAATAACCGCGCCCACACACCACAATCTCACTCCTCACACCAACTCACACGCACATACAACATACCTCCCCAACCTCATCCTAGCACCTATCTAGTACCAACGAGCCTACCTTCCACTGCCGGCGCGCCAAGCGCTTGCCAACCCCGGATAAATGCACGTCGGTAAGTGCTCCTTCCCAAACAGGCAATCGTAGTGAGTTTGGATAATAGCGGGGCCTTGGTATTTCTTGGGGATTTCTTGATGAGTGGTTTTGAGGGACGTCCAAGATTTGTCCAAGAGGTTTGAAGAGCTGGCTAAGAGGTGGCCAAGAGATAAAGAATTTGGGGTTTGGGTGCTGGGTTGGGTTGGGGAGGTGGTATGAGGCTTGGGAGGGGAGATTGTGAAGGGTGAGTGAGAGAGGGAAGGTAGACGGATGGTTTGGTTGGGTTTGTGGACTTTGAGTGGTGGGTTGTGTTGAGGAGGGGGTGAGCAGAGAGGATAGAGGGTAGAGGGTTAAGGTGAGAGGAGAGAGTTGGGGAACGCATGTGATAGTGTGTTTATGGAGGAAGTTGGGATGGAATGTTAGTTGAGATAATGGTAATGGGACATGTTTTCTGGCTGATTGGATGGGAGATAAATCGAGTTGGATTTGTTTGGGTTCTGGGCTGCAGTCTACAGAAGAGAGGGCAGATATGTAAGTATATCTAAGAATAACAAACCAGTCGTTCTGATCCCTTCCTATAGATAACCTTCTTATGAGCATCTTCATCCCCACATCTATCATTCTATAGGCTACAACTTACGCGCTCTTCCCAAGGCTACTTCGGGAGTTGAGTATGGAGATCTGATATATCCCGTCGCCTTCTTCTTTGGGGTGGTACGATGTGGTACTGACTTGAACCACGATATCAATCTCCTCCTCGCCGAGCCAACCCACCCCATGAATTAAGAAGGAGATAAGCTGTCTTCTTCATCTGACACCATGAAGCTATCGAGAACCCCAAAAAAGGAAAGTGATAATTCTCAAATCTTTGGATTTGGGGATCCACAAATCGAACTTCTCATGAATATAAATCTGAAGCCATCACCACATTCTCCGTCTCATCAGCACTTCCAATCCACTCCTCCAACTCCAGTATCCTCCTAACATTGTACGACTCTGTACCACCGCACCTTCGCAATGGCACCAATTCTCAACTTCGCGCTCGCTCTTGCGATGCCCATCCTTTCATTGGCTGCTGCCCTTCCAACCGGAGCTGAGCTTGAAAACCGTGCTACTACTCTCGGAGGAACTCCAGATATTGTCGGAGGAACCACCGCTGCTCTTGGTGAATTCCCCTACATTGTCAGCTTGTCCTACAGTGGCTCTCACTTCTGTGGTGGTGTCTTGCTCAACGCCTACACCGTTCTTACTGCAGCCCATTGCTCTGTCAGCTACTCAGCTTCCTCAGTTAAAGTTCGTGCTGGAACTTTGGTACGTCCTCATCTTTCATCTGTACTTTGTCAAACACGAGATTCAAAAGATCATCTATTCCAATTACTCCAATCCACATTTCGTAATTTTAGGTACATGTAAACTGACTTTTGTATAGACCTGGGCATCCGGCGGAACCCAAGTTGGTGTTAGCAAGGTTGTAGTCCACCCATCCTACAGTTCCTCCACCACCAACAACGACATTGCACTCTGGCATTTGTCGACTGCTCTCCCAGCCAGCTCCACCATCGGCTACGCCAAGTTGCCTGTTCAAGGCTCCGATCCCGTTGTTGGTTCTACCACCACCGTTGCAGGATGGTAAGTGTTTCCAAAGCTTCAGCAAATTTTCTCTGGAGAAAGAGCGCTAACCTGTAAATAGGGGTCTTTTGACTGAGAACGCGTCTACATTGCCATCAACTTTGAGAAAGGTCTCGGTTCCAGTTATCTCCCGTGCTTCCTGCCAAGCTGAGTATGGTACATCTGCCGTTACCACCAACATGTGGTGTGCAGGATATGCTGCAGGTGGCAAGGATTCCTGCTCTGGCGACTCTGGTGGACCAATCATCGATACTGCCACTGGTGTTTTGGAGGGTACTGTCTCCTGGGGTCAAGGTTGTGCTGAGGCTGGTTACGCTGGTGTCTACGCCAGAGTTGGTAACTATGTTACTTACATCAACTCCAACCTCTGGACCAGTTTGTAAATATGGAGAAGATGATAGAGTGGAAGGTTGAGAGTGGGAATATGGGCGGGCAAAAGTTGGTAGCAAGGGGGTAGAATAGGAGTGGGTGGTGGTGCAGCTATAGTATGATGAGTTAGGCGTAGTCTAAGGAATTTTATTGTGCTGTTCCATTTTTACATACTTTTAGTGAAACTCAGCCACCTTGGAATCATGATTGAAGTTTGGATGATGCCAAGAGGCCCTAACAGCACAACTTCTATGTATTAAGAGCCACTGGATATTAGTTCCAATCCTCGTTTACAACAAAGTGTAAATCTCGAGGCTCTTTAAGCATTGAGATCTGCAACCCATCAATATTCAAGAGGAATGATTGTGTAACTATTCATTATTAGCAAGAATGTACAGAATCATAATACTGCCGTGGGAATTTCTCACCAGTGACTCCTCACTCTCATAATCCGTTTGCGACTCTTCGTACAATTTGTATCGATACTGTAATCGACCTCGAGAAATCCAATCAATGCCAATGATACAAGCTAAGATGCAGTAAATGACACTGATGTAATTCATATCTATGATTATAAGCTCGAATCATCATGACGCTATTATGAATACTTACTGGATGCAGTCACCGGGAGATGTATTGGAAATGAGAACCTGCAAGATAGAATGTTAATATATTCCCAATAAGATGACATGAATGACTTACATGATGAGAGCAAATAGAGTCCAAATGATTGTCACTAGATTGGCAAAATAGCCAAACTTACCAAGCCAAAAGGGTCCATGTGAGATTTTATCGCGACCCTTATGAAGCAAGCATAGAAGAGGGATGCTGTAAGATATATACGGGAGGACAATACAACCAATGATCATGCTGTGGAACGTGTTAGAACTGAGTACTAATTATGCACGGGATCGTGTAGAACTCGCCTATTGAAAGCAGTTGTTGATACTAAATATAGACATCCAAGTATAGCAACGACTGTTGCGCTCATGGCGTGTGCTCGAAACGGGACATCTAAAGTAGTATTGATCTTGGCTAGAGATCGGTGAAATGGAACACCTCCATCTCGAGCAAAAGTCCAGCAAAGTCGGGATTGCAAAGTATGGCATGCAACCAGACAACCAATTCCAGTTGCCATAATAAGAGACTCGAGGAAAATTGCAGCGGATCGATTTCCGACTGACTGATAGAACAATTCCAGAATCGGTACTTTTGTAAGAGTTCCGACAACAGCATCAAAGTTATTGAGACTGAAGAACATCGCAATAACGAAGAACCACGCAGTCGTAAATCCAATCGCAATGGTAGCCATGATCGAGATTGGAATTACTACCTCTGGTTGATGAGCTTCTTCTGCTAGGTGTACAGCGCTATCAAGGCAAGAAAATGCCCAATTGGCGTTTACAAGACCGACAATGAAAGCAATGCCATTGTTTGACCAGCCCGTATTGTTAATGAAGGTTGCGAAGACGAATTTAATGTCTTGATGCGTTGGGGCTTGTGATGGCACACAAAAAATAATAATTCCAAAGGAAATTAAAGACATATAAAGAGTAATGGTTCCAAGTGTCGGTAAAATTCTACCGTAACAATTGAATAGAAAGGTTAGTAGATTGACTACTTGGTATGCAATAAAAATGTGCAATTCATGGATGATACTAACAATGAGTTAGTCTATGACTGTAACCTGAAGATAAACTGTACTTGGAGAACTCACAAATCCGGGTGATTCAATTGCCAACATCCAACTGCTGCTGACGCAACTGCCAATGATACACTGGCTGACGCAAATAGGGACCCAGCCCATGCACAGTATCCAGTCACAAATGACAAAAGTCTAGCATATTTCCTAGGAGCCAGTTCCATAACCCAAAAATGTTGTCCTGCAGCATTTGGCATTGCACTTGCCAATTCTGATAACGAACATCCTACAAAAACACTCACGAATGCAACAAGGGGTATTCCATACACAAACAGGGCAGGGCCACCAGAATCTATGCCTGTGATTAAAGCGCTCGAAATTCCAAACCATGAGTTTGTGAGAGAGAACCCCTCTCCCAGTATTGACCAGAGAGTGAATTTACGGCGCATATCCTGATTTTCACCATCGTCTTGATTCGTTGTTGCGTTGGGGACAATGTCCGACTCGTAGATGGTGACACTGGTCGACGAGATGTCGTCAATCTTTGGGATATTCATAGTCTCGTTTTGGAATCCAGTGTTCGCCCGACAGGTATCAGGGTTTGTGTGGGAAGTGATGTCACGAGGCTTTACAATAGTGAGTCCTCTTAGGGCGGCTGTCACCAACCAAAGTTCTCTGAGAGAGCGGTATCGCGTGTGTAATCCCAAGACCGATAATCTCCGAGAAATAGAGTTTTTGAAAGAGCTCTAATTGGCATCTAATTAGCATCCCTTGGATGTGAGCTTGCCGACAAATGTTGGGTCCAGAGAGAGAAACCCTTTATACTCCAGAGAGGATTTGACATTTATTCTGACTGGATTGTATGCAATGTCCTATTGTGGCAGTTTGTTCCATTAATCACCCACTCTTGACTGGAAGATGAGTGTGAAGATGCGCCAAAGATAAGAAGTTGAAACCACAAAACCTTATCAATATCATTGCTTCAACATGGAACTACATAATACTAGGGGTAGGGGGTCGTAGAGTTAAAGTTTGCACATGTAGGGATAAGACACAGAGCAACACGACAAGAACGTTTCAACCAAACTTTGTTCATATTGAGGTTGTCCGTGTGTTCCCCATTGGCCGGAGAATTAAAATATGCACGTGAAACATTTTAGCTAGTGTCATTCCTCACATGTCAGCCCCATGTCAATTTACCTAGTGTGTTCTGGTCATAATTCATCCTGGGATAAATAAGACATATTATATCCACGAGCAACCTGTCGATAAAGATGTCGGAATGATTGCGGAAGAAAGGAAGCCTCTAGGGAGTCCAACGATAACGTAGTATCGCAAGAAAGAAAATCGAACGACAGCCAACGACACATGATATCGATTCTGTCAGCTGAACCTGTCAGATTCGAAGCTCATGAAGAGTGAATCCGAGACTGTATCATATAAAAACCACGTTTTCGAAGGATTGGTGAGAAGAGATTCTGATATCAGATTGTCAACGAAGAAGTCGATATTCTCGATTAATTACTAATTCTTGTCTGGTTGCAACAAATGTGTCCTGTGATCACCGGTGAAACTGTCAGTGTGAAGCGAAGCTTTTCCGGATGCCTCGGGGAGTGAGTACAAGACCCAAGGAGCGGGATCACAGAACTAAGGTCCTCCCTCGACATGGAGTTCTTTCTTTTGAGAGGGAGCAATATGAATAAAAGTGTAGGAAAACCAGTTTTCACGATAAAAATAGAGAACTGGATTTCTTGGGCGCTTAATTGATTAAGAATACATGATGAATGAGAATAATTCTGTCAGATTCTTGAAGATATCAAAATAATTAGTACTTTAGAGGGCGTGTATTTAGACGCGTCTGCATGATCACTTTTTGTGTAGAAGGTGTGTTCTTAGTAAGAAAAAGACTAACATTATTACTATCCAAAGCGAACGTCGCTCCTCTGTTTGATTTTTGACACTTGTCTACACATGCAATGAGTAAGTGATAGAAAGCGTGCTAAAAGCATGAGGTGTATTAGGTAATCAGAATGATTGATATAGTCAACTCCATTGTACATAGCTTTCAAGAAGATACGCATTACACTTTACCTCAATTGACAGTCTATTCTTCACGTCCTTTCTGTGATAGAGTACGTGATACATACTGCACTAACCAACTCAGATCATCCATCCATCATTAATTTCAAGTATCAAAATTACAGGAAAGAGTGACTGACTTACTGCGATTGAAACATGCAAAAACAAACGACAAAACGACACCTGAGTGATTCGAACACTCGCTCCCGAAGGAAATGCCTGACTTTGTATTGATACAATAGCAGGGCATCGCGTTAACCACTCCGCCAAAGTGCCAACTTTAATGACGAAGGCAGTAGCATCAAATTATATATACCACATTATACCCCTGGAAATGAGTGCATTGGTGGGGCTGTGGGGTAGGTAACATCCACATATGTTTCTGATACCTCAGCCAATGTCAAATGAATGATTTCAAGAGACGTACTTATTAGTATTGGTGAAAAAGAAATTGAACATTCCAAAGTTTTGATTCTCTTTAGCTGAAACCTGCATGACCAACAATTGACGAAGGGCTATGTTTCGACGGCAGGATCCTTACATCATTGCTCCACATTTGCCACAACGAAGAAGAGTTCACAAGCAACATCACCAGTCTGGAACTTCTCCCCGAATCAACCAGAGAAAATGTCTCCCATTGTGATCGTAACTCTATCAAAGCAGTAGCTGCCTCGATATCACAATTTGCCTCGTTGAAGTCATCGATGCATAGGAGGTGTAAAATTACACAATGAAGACCGCGAATCTAACAGTGCCAAATACCCAAGGGACGAATCCAGGGAGTCCAATTATCAAGAATAAGTATGGGCGCCGACTCTGCAGTCAAGTTACAGTCAAGATTTCCATGATAATGAGAAAAATTAAGGGGAACGCAAGTCTGGTGAGACCGCAGTGGAGAATATATTACTTGAAGACTTTAGACAGACCTCTCGGGACAACACAGATTCATACTTGGTAAGTCACCAACAGTAAATCTCTGGCAATTTCAGTCATAAGAGCAGTTAGTAGAGCAAACTCAACACTGAGGAAGACTCTTACACCTCTAGTACGAACAAATTAGCCGCTCACGCGAAGATGATATCTACAACGAACAGCTATACCCTGAAGAGGAGAGTATAACGCCTGCAGTCAGATCAGGGATTACGATCGATTATGATCGATCATCCGTGTATATTCACAAAGACAGTCCTCATGATTGAGCTATTAGCTATGGCCAACCTTCCATGTCTGCATACCAAGTGAGTATAACCAAGGGCCAAACCAATAATTATGAGGAACCTTCCAGGGGCCAAGCCTACAGGAGCACGAATTCTCGCCTTTGCAATAATTGATACGACGGAACTTCAGAACCTACCTACAATTAAGATACTGGAGCTTCCAAGTAAAGCACTGAGGCTTCCTAGAGAAGATACCAACACCAGGCGTCTCATTCTCAACTGTGCAGGTATTCCTTCTGTACACAGAGACATGGTCTTATTGAAGTCTGCAAATAAGAGTTTCCGTTTGTGAATGTTGCAATTCCTTTCAGTCAGTACAACATCAGAAGAAGAAGAAGATGCTATACGTGTCTCATACTCTGTATCTTTCTTGGCAGACATTTGAGATGATTTTTTTGTTAGGCTGCTGTAGGATTCAAGGCTAGATTTCTATTCCATAGGTACAAGACGACATCTTTTCACTCTTTATGTTGTTTCAAAGGAAAACTTCATCAAGGTTGCTAGCTGTGAGCTTCAGATATCGGATTGTGTATATACATGTACATAGGCTCAGAAAATGCCAGTCATTATTCTGACCAAATAGCAAACAATCTCGGACAGATCAGAAACTGAACACTATACAGCATGTCAATATTATGCTAAAAAGGTTGCAATAGGTCAGACTAAATAAGAGAAAGTGACAAAGGCAGATTATCCGAGTTCATCTTTAAGATTGAGTGAGTGCTTTGGCAAGCTCTCAAACTTTGTTATCTATGGATGGACATAATGAGTCTGCTCGAGCGATTATTGAATGAAATTGTTGATCAAAAAGATCAGATTTTCCCTTCATTATTCACACAATTTGTACATTGAAAGGTTTAAAAGTGAATTCGAAGTCGATCAGATGGGAGGTCCTCAGCCGAAGACATTGCACTCGACCATCTCAACAACAAATGTCTCCGACTTGATTTGTACTCTGGTCGAATTGTAGTTTCTTCATATATACTCAGGTTAAATGACTCAAATACAACGATATCCAATAGTTTGATTGAACTATGGAACAAGATTGGGTCTAGCTGGAGTTGTATCCTAGGTACCTGGAAAGAAATTCTCAACAAAAAGCTCCATCCAATCTTCCATCTCTCAGATTTGTCGAAGAAAATTACAAAATATTCACTCTGCGCCTCAACGTGGAAAAACGCGGTATTAAGATTACAATTTACTCATGATTATCAACTATTTAGACACCGTACCAAGATCTCTACTCCACTTCAAGCCAAGAGGGATGGCTTCCTCTTCTTCTTCCTCTTTTTCTCCAGACCAAATCCTCACCGCCAGCATCTTCAAACTCTCTCTCCAAACCTACCACCCACAACCGTCTACAATCTCAACCATGAATCTCGCCCCATCAACCACACCAAACACCTCGCCCCCAAATCCAAACCCAACCCAAAACACGCACTACACCATCACCAACCCCCTCACCTTCACCACCTTTCTCGACCAAAACCCCCCCTCCACAGCCTTCAGCATCACCCACCTAACCCTCGCTCCCTCTCCCCACCTAGGCCGCATCACCTCTCTCCCCCACCTCAACGACACTCTTGGCGATTCCCTCGGCGACGCCTCCACCTTCGCCGAACTACACTCCTGGGTTACACTCCTGCAACGACTCTCCCACGCCACTCCTGGACTCCGCTCTTTAACCATAATTTTCGACGCCGATATGAGTGGACGTGATACCCATGGATATCGAAGGGGTGTAGGTGAATGTCTCGGGTTTATATGGGCGATCGCCAGATTTCGGGGACTGGAATGGGTGGATCTGCAGGGATATTTTCCGGCGCAGTGGCCGTGGTATTTGAGAGGGGTGTGGACTGCAAATGGGCAGGCGACGAGGATTTATAATAGGGTGGAGGCGCCGGAGCGGGTGTTGAGGGAGTGGAGGAGGGGGACCGAGAGGTTGGATCCGAGAGAGTTTGGGTGGGAGTGAGGAGGGAGGAGTCAGGTGGATGGGGATGGATGGATGAGAAAGGTATAGTGGTTTAAGAAAGAAACGACTATTGCGATTGCAACTTTCGGATTTGTGGTTCGGTTCGGCTTATTGTGGTTTGGGAAGTCATCTAAAAGGAATGGCGGTTGATCTCCACTCATACATGTGTGCAAATCTTGCAACGCGAATTGTCAAGTTTATAATTGATGGACGAGGTAAATTAATGGCACGGTAACAATAAAAGGTTTTGCTACTTTATCAAGCGATTTGTGTATATATGAGTACATGACGTGCATATTCCTCGCGTTCTCTCTAGTAAACTAGTCGGCAGCTTCTGCGTCCAGATGGCCTTGTGGTCTAGAAGAAATGAAACCCCAAGATCCCCTGCTAACTATGCGAAGTCGAAGATATCCTACTTTCATTGAGAATGTGAATATTTTCTGAGTGAGGATTCGAGATTTTCTCTGCCATACCCAGAACGCTGTAGCCAATATGCCCCATTTACCACAAATCCCGTTGTTCCTTTCCCATCTCCTAAACTCCTTTCCCTGTCCGTCTCCTTTCACCCTTCGCCCATATCCTCTCTTTCTCCCATTGTCCCTTCATTCCAGTTCTTCTACATCTTCTCTAGCCAATTATACATTCCGCCCAGATTGACGCAAATTCAACTTGAAACATTAACTTCACTTGTCTCCATCACCATAACTCCATTTGCTACCATAAATCGTATTTGACTGTCGCATTGATTTCAACCAGTGTAGACTCAATTGATGAATCGTACCACTAAATTTCCTCCAGCGAGTCTTTATAAACCAAGCAGAGCTGATTCGCCGTCCAGCATAGTGTTAAAAAGTTCGTCATCAGAAAGCTTGTGCCATTCATTGTCTCCAGCGCGAATATTTTGGACATTACCAACTTCGCGCAAAAATTTGAAGAAATTTGATACGGGTCCAAATTCAGCTGTAAATTCAGGCATTCTGCCGGCGCTAGTAGTGTTGGTATTTACCGAGTCCATTAATTTATGGATGATGATTATAGATTTACATAGGGAGCTGTAATCAATGGCAAGATTCTGTATCGATGTAGAATGATCCCATGTCCAGCCAGGCAATTCGTGTATTTTCCATAATTTGTTCAAGAGCTGAGCTAGTTGACAGGCTTCTAAGGACTTTTTGCGTTGTTTAAGGGGGTAAATATATTTCGTTTGCCGTTCTATCCACATGAGCTTTCTGACATGACGAAATTTTGGATGAAATTTCAAGAGTTCTCTAGCGGTGGGATGAGCAAAATATTGATACTCCAAATGAAGCATTAAACCCTTTCCAACCGTTGGGGTCATTTGGTGAGCGAGATAGTGAAAATTTCGTATGTGGATGATGTCTCTTTTTGGATCGAAACGAAGGATTCCGTTATCATTATATGGCACATAGAAAATAGGAACAGTTCCAGAAAATTTCTTTAGTGCAAGTGAACGAGAGAAGCTATTGATTCGCAGTAAGGTGCGAGCTCCAGTCATCTTAACTTTAAATCCTTCATCTAAATTGACTTTACTGGAATCATAATGATACACACTCGCCAACAGACTTGGCTTCATGTAATAACTTTGCTTCTCCCCGTCGTTTTTAATGACATAGGTCCACAAGAGTTCGATAATAGCTTGTGGAAGTCCATAAAACTCCTTGGAAGCCGATATGACAGGAGCATTGTCTGTCCAATGGTCCATCCAGGTCTTTGGTCCAAAAGTTACTTTTTCTCTCTTCACAAGTGTCTTGATCTTTGAAAACAATTTTGAGGATTTGACCTTCGAGACTATTTCCTTTGGTTTGATGTTGAGTTTCGACTCGCTTTTCTCGGAGGAGAAGCTAAGTTTCGAGTTGTGCACCTTGTATATGACCTTGAGGGGAGCCATTTTGGGGCATATGAAGAAGGTATTTGAGATATTTGTTAGACGAGAAGAATGCAGATTCGAGAGGGATGTTATTCTGTAAGAACTATGGTAGGAGAATGAAAAAATAGATGCGAAAAGGAGATGTGAAAGAGAAATATGGAAGAGAAGAATGGGAAATTGTCAGAAATTAGTATGTGTGGGTGCTATGAGAAAAGAAAACATTGAAGTATTAAGAAGGCATATATAAAATCATGAGAGACTCAAAATCAAGAAAAATTAGATGTAGAATTGAAAATTGATTTGTGTGGGAGATTTCAATAGTGTATATAGTGTTAGCACTAATTACTAGATTAGGTTATCTGATATCGTCATCGAGAGGTTTAGTCTATTACCCCCTTTGTGAGAATGACTAATCATTGCCACGCCTCAATTGGGTTTTGTATGTTCTGGTGCGTGGTTCTAGTGATCTGGCGTTTTTGAATGGCTTCATATATAGTATGTCATACTTAGACAATGATGCGGTAAAGCGACAAATGTGACTACCTACCTAGTATGCAAGCTTCACCTACCATGAGTCTCATTTTCGATTTAAAATCTACTTCAGCTGCGAATGCACACGTATCATACTAGTGACTCAACAAACATTGAAATTGTCAAAAATGCCCGTAATTTTCTTCGAGTGTCTCTTTTGATAACATCTACTACATGATTTGTCTAGTTGTAATGGGAGATTAGGGTCAAAAGAGCACGTATACACATTACTGTACTATCACTCAGATCATAGCTAAATGATGAAAAGTGCTCTTTTAATTTTGAAAGCTATGAGGCAAATGAATTAGAATAATACACTCCTTCAATACATATATCCTAGTAATAAACTCCCAAAATATTTACATCTATCTTATCACTTTTAGATATTAAAAGATACCTGTATATCTTAGTCATTCCGTGGACGTTAAGAATCCCAGAAGCAGCTACAGTTGACTACCGGAAGTCTGGTCCAAAAACATCTGGGTGCCGATAAAGTCGTATATTGAAAGGCTACACGCCGAGAATACTTCAAGATTCGACAACACGTGATATTTTTGACATCAATGCCTTGATAGATTCACCTCACCTGGATTGGATCTCTTGTGCTGCTCAAATGCATCTTCCATGAGCTCTAGAATCTCTCTGCCGTGTTTGGCATCCTCGATATTCGTGTTGGAATTGAAGTATTTCTCCATCCACCGAGTAACTAATCTGCGAAGAACGGCTCGAATTGCAGTTCGACCCCTCTCACTAAGGAGATTTTCCGGAAGTTCAGCCAATTGAGGTGATGAGTAACAGTATTTGTCGATGAAGGATTCTATGTCGAGGTGGGCAATTCTGGTGGCATTTTCCTTGTTAACCCGAAAATATACAAGAGTATCATTTTCAACCTGAGGAATGCTCAAAACCTTGTTGACACTGCTGCCCAAGGTAAAAACCATAACACGGCATGCTAGCTTTTTACTCCGATAACCGGTCATCGCTCGTTGCAAGTTGAGGAAATTGGCAAGAGATTCGAGGTTCCATCTGAGTAAAGAGGAGAATACCTTTGGAACGACTAGACTGCCCGGATAATTCAGTCCTTTGAGATGCCATTTCTCTGCTGTATTATGCTGAACAGCGGTTAAAGAACGCAAGTTGGAACAGGCAAAGATCAGTCTGCTCAAGAAACTAATGTTGTGAGCTACTGCAAGCTCTTGGATTCTTTCACCGCGACTACGCACATCAGCTGTAATGTTAAAGAAGGAAAGCAAGTGTAGGGGAACAGCAAGGTGCCGAATCTCACTGAAAGACGCTGGAATTCGCCCTTTGTAGCATATCCTAATGTTACTATGATCTGGCTCTTCCATCTTGAGAATGAGAGTCGTATCTTGGTGAATACATACTGGAATGTTCTTGTTGAGAGATGGTAGCACGATTGGCAGATGCTTTAGATAAATTCTACGAAATGCCCTTGAGACAAACAAAATCGATGTATGTTTTATGTCAAGGTCCTCATTAAGTAGTATTTGATTATTGGGATCCAGGCTAACAGAGACTAGACGGAAATGATTGCGTTCCGGGATACATTCTTTAATTATCATATATTGAATCTCTGCGGGCAAGTTGTCGAAATAAATCGAATTGGTGGGACCTAAAACCATGTTTCCAGCACCATACGGTGGCCCTTGGCGTTCTTGAACCGCAATAGAAGTTGAGTATAAAGCATTTTCGGTTGTATCCTCTGTTTCTAGATGTCTTTCTGTATAAGAAGCTTGTACAAGATTTGAAATACTGGAAGAAGCGGATAGTGATGCATCGCCGGATCTGGGTTCGGCTTCAGATTTTGCAAATGATCTTTGTACTTCTGATATTGTGGGTGAGATTTCTTTTGCGGCTAATTTCGCAGGGGACACCATTTTCTCATTTTTGTCTTCTCGTGGAGCGATACTTGACTGTTTGGCTTCATGGTGGGAGTATTCGATGATAATGCCTGTGGTTGTTGTTAGTAGTTGAATCATAGACATTATCAGAAATATTGCTTACCATCATGCTCCATTTTGTGATTGACTTTTTTGACGGGATTCATGTTATGGAAAATGTTAAGTGTGGAGTCAGAATCGAAATACCCAAAAATGGTTGAGTTTTAAATACCTAGTAAATGGCACTACGTTCGTGTCAAATGACATACCAAGAGTTGTGCTCAACACTAGAGCAGCTACCCAGATAAGTTCCTTGACGATCTCGAAGCTTATATCGACATCAAGTGGGGCAAGATTTTGATTAACTGGATAGCTATGAAAGGAACAGGATATGGAATAAAAAATTGAATACATAATCAGTCTGTAGCAAACGAGCCTAGGAAACTATTGAACTTGTACGGAATATTTTTGGCTTGAGTCTATTTTATGTATGTCAAAGTTGTTAAGCGATAGGAAACGAGCATCTCCATGTGGATGTGGTGGGAGGGTCGATGTGTTTTAGATAAACCTTCGATCTGGTGAATTGGATATTGAGTAGATGCTTAGAATATGTTTTATAGAAACTAAAACATGTGAATACATATATAGAAATGCAGGATATCAATGGGCGTATGCAGGGTCTCGTAATCCTCGAGGCTAGTAGTACTAGTAGGAGGGAAAAATATCTCTCACCCAGACGAAAAGGGTGGTGCAACAAAGCAGTAAAATCTAACGAAGAATCAATCGACATCTCTGGGTTTGATAGAGCATAGTCTTTATTTTGATCAAATGCTTGATCTAGGAAAATGGTTGGTTGATTTGATCTTGAATACCAAGGAGAGTATACATCGTAGTCATTGTTCAGACTGGCCTAGATTAGCTGACTAGGTAGTTATCTAGCACGTGCCTAGAAGGTTACAGAGTTGCGCGGGCAGGCTTCTGATTGGTCGTTGCTTTCTGAGCTTCAAGAATTGCTGACTAATAACTATCCATTGTCACCGTTATATCTACGTGCGTACCTACCTACCTTTATAAAATTACAACCACACTTTTCAATAATACTTCTATTAATTTGATTATTTGACACCTCGACCTATCCAAAGACTTAAATCTATCAAGTCAATGTACTGAATAATAATGAATCATGGTTTTAACCAGGAAGATGGCAAAAGAGGCTTGTGCAGCTGCTCAACCACCTGCGACTTTCCATTCCTTTTCCCTTCTTCCAATTGAATTGAGGACCATAATTTGGAATGCTGCTGAAGATTCGCGGCCCGGTCGCCTCATCGAAGTTTACAACATACCAAACCATTATACAACCACCGGTCGCCCCACTTCTTTTGAATGGCATGCGATACTATGCGGTTGCGAAAAGAGGTGCTTTGAGCCTCCCCTGGCGCGAGTAAACCTCGAATCCAGAAATATTGCCTTGCAAAGGAGATCGAAATGTTTTGGACAGTGGGTGGACTGGGACAAAGATATGATATTCATTGGCAGTAGAGTCGGACATTTGCACAATACTGGGTTTCTCCACGCATTGGAAGTACAGAATTGTCGCGAGAAGCTGAAATATCTTGCCATCGATTTTGATTGCTGGGAGAACTCTTCTGTCTTTCCCTGCGCACGAAAGGCGGAATGCACCCCAGCTGCGATGATTTCACGATTACCGGGACTCCAAAAAGTGGTGCTTGCTCAAGCTTCGGGTGCTTGGCGGGATGGCAATGAATTTGAGGCACATGATCCTGGCCATTACCACAATATTTGGAGAAGCTTTGACGGGGCCGAGGCTTTTATGAAAGAGGATTTCGATGATCTTGTCAGATCTGAGAAGCAAAAACACACAAAGTGGATATTACACAGTTACTACAAAGGAATTGATGTCCGGAAAGCTTTGCCTGAGAAGGTTGACAAGTGGAGATGTTATGACGATAGTCATGAGGAGATTGGCGAGGACCCGGGATCATTCAAACCTGAATATGTTGATGAGTATAATTACCACTATGGTGGAAGTCGTGGAACTGCATTGATACAATTTGAGAAGATCAAAAATGCCTACTGGTGGGGCACTGGCGATGACCAAAACGATTACCACTTTCTAAGGGATTGGATTCAAAAGGACATTGATAAACTGAAGTCGATTTCCGGGAAGAAATTTCACGGAGATCCTGATTATAATACGTGGAAGCAACCTGAAATCGATTATGCATTGATACGAAGAACGGCTCCTTCTTGTTTCACTGACGATTGGGAAGGTCTTGAGAGAGAGTGGATGTATTATGGAGAGGCAGCCTGGGCGAGGGACCACCCTAGAAGCTACAAAGCTCGAGATAAATCCAAAGACTATCCAGCAGGCCAACATGTGCAAAAGTATACAAAGCTTTATCCGGCGTCTCAAAGGTGGCGTCTCGATGGTTAGAAGCCATCAGTAGCGATGGTTATTTTCAGCCCGTGGTGTTCAAAAGTCCGGGCCGGAAGATTGCAGTTCAGCGCTCAATGTTTGAAACAATACAACACTGACAGACGATTAAGATTAAGTACTCGGAATGATCTGAATCCTTTTTTTTTTCGGGATTGAAAACTTCTAATTATTGGGTTTCAACCTGGAATATTGGAATCCTTGCCCTCAACGATATCTTCGATATTGATGACGATACGAATGTCTTCAATGCAACCCCAAAATTTTGCAACAGATAAATACTGGCACCACAATGAGAACATACTTTAGATGCCTGCGGCTAGAAATTACAGAACCTTAGGCTTGCGATAGCAAGTAGCGAGATCAGCTGCCCGACTATTCTTCGGCGACACATACATATTAGGCAGAAATGTATGCAGAAATGTATGCAGAAATTCATGAAACTCTTCCCGGCTTCCGAATACCACAACTGATAACGAATCACCTAATCGAGCCATAAGATGTGCGGAAGATAATCTAAAAATACGGTTGGTTCACATTTCACTTGGTTTCGTTAGTCTGTATAGGTCTTAAATATTGAGATAGTCAAGGTGCATTTTGTTCACTATGGATGATACTAATCTAAGTATAATTCAATAAAGAGATTTATACGAATGGTTCGAATGAAACACAATCCGCAACCATCTCTCTCGCCTCTAATTGGTTAGCAGTCGTGGAATCTTGGCTCGGATAGCAACAGTGATCGTAACGGATATTCAATCGATACAACAAGGGCTAGTGAAACCAGATTTAGATTGTGGGCGTGAATAAAAATATCTTAGCTTATTACAACAACATGCACAGGATCAAACGATGGGCGACGATCATGGAGAAACTCGATGAAGAAATTTGATTTCCAGACCAAGCGCTGAAAACTGAAACATTTTCTTGAGCTTAGATTCCCATTCCTTCATAAATTGAAAGAAACTTAAGGATTAATGTGTCCATCAGAATGACGATTTGAATTAGTCCCTAACTTCTTTTTAAACTAGATAATTTGATATTAGGAAGAGCATAACGAACAGAACCAGAAAAAAACTACCAGCGACTCTGCGTCAAGTCTGTTCCCACCCCTGTCTCCGTCATCTACCACTATCATGACCCATAAATGGAATATCGAACATTGATATCGAATTTGGTGTGCAAGAACTAGGTAAGTCACGAGATTGTAGCTTCGTGACTCGATATCAAGGCATGAAAACTATCAGTCACGGCTTACTAGCATTTATTCCCATCTCCTGCATGCGCAACTGCCACAACTGCGCGTATTTTTCAGTAATCTTCACAACCATCAACTGTACCTGATCATAAATCCACCGCGTCGTCGTCATCAACCTCGTTTCAAAATAACTTGGTGGATGCGAAAAAAGTATATGATCAAAAAATGGTTCAGTGAATTGTTTAGTACCCGCTTTGAGCTTCGTGAAAGCATCATTCGTCTTCGACACATCTATCCGCATCCTTACTTGAACCTCCTCCGGCTTTTCATACCATTTCCATCGTGGAATTTTCCGCTACCTGACCATGTTGACCCTTCAGTTATCGCACAGAGCGAAAAACTATACACAATTCGCAACGAATTTCATGGAACTCTCCGCAACGTTCCTGTCAGACAAGCTCGTGACACTCCTCTTCGTTGTGTTTACCGCATATATGAGATCTTAATGATGGGTGACTATGTTCCATTGGGTAGCGAGACGGAAAATTTTTGGTATCAGTCGACAGAGAAATGGTCTTAAGCTCAATACCAGATCCAAAAGCTCCTGATCCGATCCGCTATGCAATTGTTGCATGTATAGTGGAAGAATTGGTACGCGCTTTTCAACTGGAGGTTGGCTCTGGGAATGCGTCGAAATGGGAAACACATCCGACGGAAGAACGAAGGTGACCCATATCCCCCGTATACTCCTGTGGTCGAACCTGATTGGACACGATCGGTGCCTCCTATTGAGCCAGATATGCCAAGAGATTTACCGTCTGAAATGGTGACTGGGAGTGGAAAACTGGTTCTGGAAGAACGTGGATGTGACGAAAACTTTGAAAAACGGAATGTCATCACGAATGTGGGTTGGTTTTATACAGTGTGATTTGATTGGTGAAAGACTTTAGGATTGATGAAGCACGGCACACATCATATAATCAACATGACAGTAAATACCGAAAGGTGTTTGATATGAGCGATGCAGTGGCCATGTTGAAGAATTTGAAAGACGTAAAAGGTCCACTGGACAGAGTATATATTCAGACGCTTAGAACGAACGGATTTGATGTGGTACCCGATGATCACACCATAAATCGTGTGGCTGCGGAGTATGATAGGGCTTATGGAGAGTAGGCGTTCGCTTAATTAGGAGTTGACATCATCAAAGTATCGTTCGATCAAGAGGAATTGAGACACTATTTAAATTCGAAGGGTGATTTGATTGTCGAATCTGAGCTGAGATATTGAGGAGTACTACGAGTATGGACAGTCTTTCAATAACTTTAATAATGTAGTAAGTCTCTATGATAACTCAATACAGAGCCATGTGATTAACGCACTAGCAATAAAATTGCCTGACAGACTTGGCTCTTCATGTATCCATATTGTTCGCGAAATGTTCCTCCACCCGCCCAATATTTGTACACCTCATTTGCCCCTGTCCCACATCTGAACCAAACTCCACGAGAGGCTTTTCCCTCGATAAAAATTGTATATCCCATGAACTCCATATCTTTCCCTAGTCCAATAGTACAAGAAATGGCCCAAGAACACCAAAGTCGAGCCGAGTAGCGTGATTAGAATTGTTATTGCTCCACCTCTCCTTCTTCTTGCTGATCCTCTGTACCAGCTCCGGCCTCAGTTGCCGCCAGAGAGGTTTTGGACTCAAGCTGGGAGTCAAGTTCGTTGTCTTTGGGTGCATCATCTTTATCATTTTGTATAGTATCTCGACTCTCGTCCAGTAGTGTGTTCCCATCGTTCGAAGCTGCAAGAGTTTCTGAGCTAGTATCTTCTCTTCTTGCTCGCTTCGCTAACGGCACTTCTTCTATTTGTTCATCTGCCTTGCGTTTTGGGCTGACTATCATGTCAGGATCGATATTTGACGAAACGTCATTTGTAGATGTGGTTTGGTCATGACTGGAAAGATCATTGGCGGCTGCTTTTAAAGGAGCATCATCTGTTCCAGAGGTAGGCGAAGGTCGAGAGTTATCAGTCGTTGAGGTCTGTGGCTTGCTATCTGGCTGACTATTTTCAAGCTTTTCTTTGGGCTGACTGTCACGAGATTCAAGGTCTGACTGGGAATTGTGCTCCGAAGCATTTGTTCCATTCCCATGGGCATGACCGTTGCCATTCTGATTTTGAGTATGCTCAGACTTTATACTAGTATCGGCTCCATTTTGTTCTTCCTTCCCACTTGAAGCATGAAGATATTTGGCAGCCGTGTTTCCGGGTTGGTCCTGGTCCGTGATCTGAAAAGGACTGTTGCTTAGGAATTTATGCAATATTAGTCCAGCTTCAACAATTTGAGGTTCAGTACCCTCAAGATGTTCCCACCAGTCTTTACCCTCTATTCGGGGAATTTCGCATTTTTTAGCAGTCGCGGCGAATAGAAGAGTTGTGATTGCAATGATCCGAGGGCTTGTTATGAGACCTAGAGTTGAATGATGGGTATCGCAGATCAATGCCCATGTATAATTCCTGAGCTCTTTGATTATGGCAGACTCGACACCCACCTTTGTAAATTCCTCAAAGAAACCCACGAGATATTTCAGCGGAGATGTAGCAGAAAGGTCGAAACATAATAACTCCAACATAAGCTCCTCATACATTAGAATGCTATCACGCCATCGCCAATATTCTTTAGAGCTGGCATCAACTTCAAGCTTCGGATTCTTCTGGGCAATCTTGATACAGGAGAAAATGAACTGTTTGGTTCCCCGTATAGTCTCTTCGGTCTTTGTCGCGAGAAATAAAGCTGTCGCTGCAATTTCCTAATAAAATCAATTAGTATTCATTGCGCCGGAGATTGTATAACAGAGCTAGACAAGCAGAAATCAAGCAAGCAAAATTATAGTATATGGCCTTACGATTTCGATTCAAAACGTGGTAAAGTCTACATCGGAAATGTGACATTGAAGGACGATTCATTAAAGCCAAAAGAGTTAGATAATAAAATACTTACATAGTGATGAATCCCAGTGCAACCCTTTTTGTCTAAAACCATGCTTCTGCGCATATAGAATCGGTGAAAGTAAAGACTTGCGACGCTCACAGTGGTCATAGGGATATGTAGCATATTTCCGATTGATGACATGAAAGAAACACCTTTTGCTCTGCGAATACGCTCTTCTTCGGGCGAGAGACCTTCTAGAATAGACGGAGTGGCTTTGAGCTCTGCCTCTGTGAAGAGCCATTGATCGGGAACTTTAGTCGGCATTTCTGATATTAATGCGTGCTTTGTTTGACGGAAAGGTTGTTCGGGAGGTAGGTGATGATTTGACAATCGCGGAGGCGAAGGAACCGCCGGTGGTATGTACTTCTCAGTTATAGTTGAGGCGCAAGAAGATGGAGGTCGAGTGTGAGTGTGGTTTGAATGATCATCCGGGAATTCGAATTCGGCAGTAGGATGTGGACCGGCGGTGGTCATAGGAATGAGGAATTGATAGAATTTGATTTGCGATCGCGAGGCTGTTGTAGACGTAAAATCTTGCTTCGTCTACGGGAAGGCTGTTGGGTAACTTTAAACAAGTTTACAATGTCCTTTTAAAGTCGGATGGTGAAAACATGTACAACTCCAATTGTGCTATCGTTAAAATTCATTATGGATGGAATTCATGTCACAATACCAAAGAGAAGACAATTGAAATCAAAATCGCGATAGCTTGAATCGAGCTAGTCGTATCTTAGCGTCATTCACGCCGTACACGTGACTGCGTGAACACGCGCCAAAATTCTACCGCATCTTAACAGTTAAACCGTTTCTTGTCTACCGTAGAGGAGGCATGGTGTAGTATGGAGTAATCTCGTATCGGCTGTGTTATCTCTAACTCGGCTTACAGTCGATTATATACCGAATGACTGGATACATTCCGTGTGTATGGCGATGACTAGGCGCGTGTCTCTAAATCAGCATTCCTCAGGAATCAGCATATCGACAATCATGTCGCCATGTCACTTCAACACCGACTGTGGTTGTGCTATTTTAACTCAATCGAAGTGATGTCGTGGAAGTAAAAACTCACAGCGAAGTCCAAGTGGACATCTTTGGCTGTACCACAAGATTCTGAGTAGGTTGATTTCTTTTTAAATAGTAGAGTGTGATGCTTTGTGGAATTTTGTTCTATGGGGATGACTTCGAGCAGCTCATAGCGGAAGTGCCGCAATATGAGACATTCTTTCTAGACGTGAACCGCATTTCTGCTTAAGCATTCCAACTCTTCAGCGCGACAAGCCCCAAGCTATGCGTCTTAGTTATAGTCAGGAAACCCTCGCAGATATCATGAATCTATTGCTGTCATGTAGAATCAACAGCGGGACTTCAATATCCAACATTATGATTCTATCAAATCTGCTCATAGCTTCCCTAGGCATCATTTCAGTCACTTCGTCTCAATCATTCAGTGCCACCAATGTTTGCCTAGATGCACTCTCATCAGAGCCTAATGACGCCAAAAGTTTTTGCACACAATATTTAGTCTCGAGCACTATCCCTATTCCTTCATTTGCGTCACCGTGTTTGGCCACCGACCCATCTGATAATCAGTTATTTAAATCTTGTTACGAGCTGCTTCATCAATTGGAGAACGAAGTTTCACTACCTGAAGTGCCACATCTCGGCGTGATTGAGGAGCCTGTCAAGCGCGGAGAAACATTACCTCGTGACGGAGGCTTCTTTAATACAGGAAGTGTTCCATCAGTAACAACCAACATTGGGACATATGATAATTATGGATGTTTCGAAGATAGCACTCGGGGAAAACCTCTAGGCTCTCCGCTACTCAATTTAATTGGATCTGCCGCGGACACAATTCAGAGTTGTGTAAATGCATGTTCTATCTCGGGACAAAATGGAATACCATATCGCTATGCCGGCATAGAACCTGGATCTTGCTGGTGTTCTAATTATATCTCGATACTCGCCATCAAAAGCTCTTCGTTTTGTCAATCGACCTGCCCGTCTAATTATGGCAAATATTGTGGGGGTATCGTTGGTGGAATACTTCACATGCAGCTATATGAGTTGAAAAATGTGAATCCTACATCAACGATGTCTGTGAAAACGACATCTTCTTCGCTGAAATCTTCTGTTAAGCCATCTATCTCAACGTCACAGTCAGGGACTACATCTAAATTCTTGAGTTTGACGACGCAAACGAGCAGTCGAAAGTCTTCGTCGATTTCCAAATCTTCTTCTTCTGCTAGCCCAACCAACCCCATTTCGAGTATATCAACAGTTCCTGCTTTTCCCACAACGAGCAATATACCATCTACCTCTTTTTCGCCAATTATCGAAATATCATCCACCACCAAATCATTTGGGTTACCTCCCGACCCCCAACTATTCCTCCAATCGTTGGTCCTACAGGCTCAGAAAGTTACATCCTACCATCGGGCACTTTCGCTTATCCGAGTGAACTATCAACTCCTACCCAATCATTCGGCTTGCCTCCTGATCCTCCAACTATCCCTCCTATCGTTGGTCCCACTGGTACCGACAGTTACATTCAACCGTCGGGTACCTTTGCTTATCCGAGTGAAGTTTCTACCACAGGTAAACCTAATCCTTGGGCATCTTTAACACTTGAGGAGCCTAAATTTTGGACACAAGTACCTTCTGACGCAGTTCCAGGCTTTGTAGAACCAACGACTACTCTTCAATCCATATCCACAGCAACATCTCCCCCTCAAAAGGTTAAACGCGAGTATGATATCACCGCCCCTGATAGTCCATGGCTTGCTCTGCTTCCCCTGACCTCCCCAGAGATTTTTAAAGAAGTTCTTCCCGGCCAAGTTCCAGGATGGGATCAACACGCCATAGCTAAAGAGAAAAAACTCAAGTCTCGGGAATATGATATATATGCACCAGACAGTCCCTGGCTTCCTCTTCTCCCCTAACTTCTCCAGAAATCCTCAAAGAAGTCACTCCCGATCAAGTTCCGGGTTGGAAACATCAATCTATTGCTCAACCACCCGATAAAGTTAAACGTGAATACGATATCAACGCCCCCGACAGCCCTTGGCGACCCGTTCTTCCTCTCTACACCCCCTCCATCCTCAAATCCGTTCCCGAAGGCCAAGTCCCCGGTTGGCGAGGCCAAGCTTCAGCTCCTCTCATCCCGATTCCGACGTTCCTCCAAGGACCAAAACTAAACCCAAAACCAAACATCGTCGTCAACTTGGTCCTCTCCCAGAAAACTTCCTCGAACCTCCCGGTCGTCCAGATTTCATCAAAGCCTACCCAGAAAAAGACAACAACAAACGTCTCCCCGCACCCTTCAACAAAATGCCCGATGCCGTCGACCCCAAAACTGGCAAGAAATTACCCATCCCAAAGCCGAAACCCAGATACAGCCATTCGAAAATCAGCCTGCAGAAATTCCCCAGCTTGAAAGAAATAGGATTGGAACAAGATGGGAGAGAACATCAAAATGAAGAAGATACAGATGCAGATGTAGATGCAGATGAAGATGAAAATGAAAAAACCGAAAACGCAAAAAGGATCTCGGATCTGCAAAAAATCAGAGATAGACGCTACGCGCACAAACTCCATTTACAAGGAACACCCAAAGCGTATGCGGAGATGCGAGAGAAGAGCGAGAGAAGCGCGCACAAGGGACACAAACGAATAAAGATGGAAGAATGGGAGAAGAGGATTTTTAGGGGATTGGGAAAGGAGGAAAGGAAGGGAGAGGAGGAGGATTTGTTGTTGAGGGAAGACGCGATTATTAATCGTGTGTGGCTGGGAGAGGACGGGCAGGAACTGGAAGATGGGGAGGACGAAAGTTGGACATGGAGAAAATGGAGTGGAGGGGGAAAGAGGAAGGGGAGAAAAATTCGCTTGGAGAGGTGAGGTAAGGTGAAGGGAGTATTTACTTGATGCATGGAATGAGATGAGATGCATCGCATGTTAGCATGAGGAATCTTGGAATGCGAGGTTGGAGTTGGAAGCACTACGGTGGTTTGATTATTAAATTGGAAAACAGACACAGCATGAACAATCGACTAAATATTTCATCGCTGAACCCGAATGGAAATCCGAATGTTAAGAAGGCTCACTTATCACATCCAATGTTACCGCGCGATACATCTCTTCCATTGAATTTGAACGAGCGGCTGGAAGCTGCTGAGCTGATCACGAAGGGGTTCTCGGAAAGGCAGTTGAGAGCTGGTCTTACTTACTTATTTACCCGTTTGAAATTGATGTTGAAAATCACCGTTATATCTATTCGTATTCAAAAAATTTCAGATAATTTTATATTGTATCACTCAAGGACTCACTGCTTTATCCATCCACTCATCCCACTATATACAACAAAATAGGTACCACATTACCACATTACCATACACCCTCCTCTCTCCCTTCCTCTCACTTCTCATCCCAATCCCACAAATTCAAATTCAAATCTTCAAATCTTCAAATCAATAATCCACACCCACTCATCCACCCATCCACCCACCTATCACACACAAGACACAAGACACAAAACACAAAACACAAAACACAAGAATAACCCCATCAACCCCCATCAAACACCACACACACACACACACACACACACACACACACACACACACACACACACGCACGCACATACTAGCCTCAAGCTAAGCTTTCAACCCAAACAATCTCATCTCATTATCCCCTAAAATTGTATCCTCATCCCAATCCCCAATCCCCAATCCCCAATCCCAGATTCACACATATGTATATATATATATGTACATGTATAATTTCATACACATCACACTTTGAGAGAAACACTTTCCCCCTCCTCTCTCCCCCGGAAAAAACCACAGAGAGCGAAACTCAAAAAGACAAACAAACAAGTAAATAGTAGACTCAAGTCCATTCATTCATTTGATTCTCAAAAATCCATCCACATATCCACGCATACATGCATGTATTCCATATATTGCACTCCAACTATGCTATACTATACTATACTAACTATGCTATCCAACCCTACCCCATCCATTCCTAATCTATGATATCCTATACCCGATATATACCCTATGACCAAACCACCTTAAACATCCCTCTTTTAAATTTTCACCGCCCTCCTCTCCACCGTCCCCTCCTCACCACAAACAATCTCACCCCACAACCTCCATTCCCAATAAGATCCCCATCTATAATCATCCCTCCAATCCCCTCCCCTCCCACCTCCAAGTCTCCCTTTCACTTCTATCCCCACATCATACCATACCATACCATACCATACCCAACAAAAGAAACCAAGCAAACACACGCATATATGCCAATGAGCTAGCCAAACAAAACAAAACAGTCTCCTACGCTATGAAATATGAGTCAAGGAAAAAACAAGAAAAAAAGCGAACGGAATGCAATGAAACCACACCACCCAAAAGCCGTAAAAGGTAAGAAGAAGAAAAAAAGTGCCCAACACCATTTGCTATGCAGGTATCTAATATGTATTTCATATACGCTAAGAAGGAGTGTATCCATTCCAATCCTCCAATCCATGTCCAATCAATCAATCAAAAGTTCCTAATGCTCGAACCAAAAAATGTACTGGAGTATCTGTAACAATACTACTCATTATCCAACCATCTCATACTTTTTCATCCAACCCGATAATTACCACTTCACTCCTTTCGGATCAACAGTGTAGTTATATCCAATTCCACTACGTTCATCCTCTATACAAAATAATACCCCTCACATTATCTTCTGATCCCTCCATTTTAGTTAAAGTTAAATAGATTGCGCTTCATCATCACTGCATCATTTTTTATGCAGCGAATTTCCTAAATCCCTCTACACCCAAAGTAGGAACCTCAACCCATTTCAGGGTTGGTACTCCCTCCGACCTTCTCCTCTCAACAAAGTTATTGCACTCTCCAACGATCTGCATCCATTCCGCTAACGCCCTACCCGCATATTTCGATCTCGCGAATCTATCTCTCCCGGCAAGTTTTGGATCCAGCGGTGCTACCTCTTTACTCATTCCTGGAACTCGAGCGCCAAGCCATGCATGAGCTGGGGCAGGAAGACGAGGCGGTGTGAGTTTTCTTTCATTTGAAACATCAGATCCAGCAGGTCCTCTACCAGCTGCGCCACCTTGGAGGATCGAATGCGCTTTTTCAAAATTCTGAGCCCATTCCAAGGAGAACTTAAAGCTATAGGCACGATGAGACGCAGTAGCTGGAGGAGTTTCGCTGTCACTTGAATTTTTGGAACGAAGGGCGGGTCTAGTCCTTGCCACAGATGTAGCTTTCCTTGCTTCCTCGAGTGCTTTCTTTTCCGTTGCAGGTTTGACGGATGTGGAAGGAGAAGCAGCCGATTCTGGCGAAGAAGATAGAGATGGAATGATTTTCCCCATAAATGTCCACCTTTTCTTGTTTGGAGTAGTGGGTGCTTCGCTAGCAGGTTTGGGAGGTTCATTTTCATTTTCTTTGTTTTCTATTTGTGCCAGATCTCCTAGAAGTGACTGTCTTTTGTATGCATTAGACGGTTTTCGAGGTAGGTTTGAAGCGTTATTAGTTGTCATTAAGCCATCAAATCCTAGAAAGAGATTTGGCGCAGGCATTTGTGTATCATTACGGATGATCAGAAGTCGTCGGCCAGGTGCTGGATAACAAGGTGTTGTAGATGGAGGAAGGAGGTCGGAACTCTCAGCCGTTTGTTTGAGGAAAAGGTAGTTTGCCCAGGTACCCTTGATCCGCGAAGAAACAATACCAAATATTTTTCTATGTTTTGATTAGTTAACGTGCCTCACAGAAGGTGGATAAAGTATGACTCACGTATCAAGATCAGTAGCCTCCCCATCCTCGCGGCACAATCTCCAGCATAACAAACGCATATAATATGCGCGGACCATGGGACACCAATGATTGAAGAACTTGTCAAATGTCTCCTCGGTGAGCAACCACTCCAAACACAGAATCTCCTTTCGAGACTCATTGCTTGTGACAAGGTTCCAGGCAGAGTAGAGAAATGCGAATAGACGGATTTCCGACATACTGTTCTGGCTCTCCAGAATCTTTCTGCAAACATCCAGCCAGAAGTGCCATTCGATGAAATCATCTTCAAATGCATGAGCATGATGGAATCGAACAAATAGTGAGAGTGCTTCGTCCATGAAGTCGCACAAAACGAAACATGCATTATGATCATACAAGGACGTCCTTCGTGCTGAAGCTTGCATCATTTTGCTAAAAGCCTGGGCGAAAGTCATTCGGGCAGGCTCAAAGTCGGCAGGTCTTTCAGAAAGAAAGTCTCGAAGTAACATAATTAAGCGATTTTCGGCCATTAGCCTAGCGGAGTTGGTGGAGGGGAGAGGCAAAGCAGCAGCGGATGCATCGGCACCCGCAAGTACGTCGTCAAAGGTAATTGGAAGTGCTTCAACTGCTGGTTGACGATGGATTGTAGCATCCAGAGCAGTCAAAATCTGTGCTTGAACCAAAACAAAACCCGGCGCGCGTGCTTTGCTTGCAAACGGAAGATCTGAAGGCAGAAATTGCTCGGCCAGGATATGATAATGTTTCGAAAACACATAGAAAAGATCACTATCTCGTCCGCACCATCTAGCAGCCCACGGGCCGTACCATGGTATCTTGGAAACAAGAATTGATAATGTAGGATCTTTCCGGAGCTGATTAGACATTGTCATCACTGACGTCCAGCCCAATACTCGAACATGTGGCGGAAATGTAGCCGCGACTTCTTCAGTTTCCACTTTATTGGGTCGTTTTGGTAAACCCAACTCATCGGCAACACGTTTCAAAGTGTCAGCCGGTGTCTTCCATATTCGAACCAGTATTTCTGAAATTCCAGGCACAAAAAAGAAAGCATAAGCAGCAGCCTTTCCACAAAATGTGACCAGACTTGCAGGAGCATGTCTAAGTGACATTTTGGCAACCACAAAGTGCATCTGAGATGTTAAATTTTGAATAAACAAATTCCTGACATTGTGATAGACAGACTCGGCTAGAAATTGTGATCCTGACGAGTTCAGAGAGCTTGAAGATTTTCTCCCACGTATAGACATGCGCTCAGTGCGCTCAGGAGATCGGTTAGGAGATCTTTCCGATAGGGGCGAGAATTGCGATGGTCCGAGTCTCCATTCTGGCCGTGTCATGATCATCACAATGGCTTCAAGCAGTACAGGACGATCTACGCCAGATACTATTTGATTCGCCCGTCCATCTAGTACTTCCAGAAGCCCAAGCCACCATTTATTAAGTATGTTGATTCTTCTATCAATATCTTCCGGGCGAAGACATCTATTGGATGGGTGGTTGATATTATTTCGAAGAAATGGTAATAATGTAGAGCGAACGACGTTGGTTTTTAACGACAGTGATTTGGATTGAAATTTAGAGTAATCGTTTTCTAACCCTCGGAAAGCCTGCCAGAGTTCATCTCGTTTTCGTGGTGTCTCGACACTCAGAAGCTTTTCCGTGGAGAAATTTTTGGGTAGCGGAGGGACTTTGTCAATTGAAGTCCTCGGAGTAGATCTGTTGTCTATCGAGCTACCTGGTAGACTGCTGGTGGATGAATTGACGGAACCGAAGCTTGCGATACCCAGTATACTACTCGGTCTCTGCCTGATCTTTCGAAGAGTCGAATTCCTCTTCACTGGAGGTGGCTTGGATGGGCTATCGATATCCTCAACTGTGTGGTCGAATTTCGCGGGAATGACTGCCGGAGGGGCAAGTATGGTGGTCGCCATTTTTGATGGCCCTTCACCTCTCCCATCGCCCTCAATTTGTTTTCCTGCTTTTCGATTACTTGGGGACGGCGATCTTGACGATGACGAAATCCAAGACTTTCGTGCAAACGTAGCGAAAGATTCTGTTACAGATTTCGTCTTATCTCTGGAAGCC